AAGCTTTCCAAAATTCACAAAGTACATGGAGTCTTTCCAAACATCATTCAAGTACACGTTCTAAGGCACATGTAGGCATTCCAAAAATCATTCCAGCCCACGTCCTACCTCTAATACGAACACGTCGAAGACCGACACGAACGCTGATTCAAGCCGAAGACCTACACGAACGCTGATTCACGCCGAAGTCCTGCATTAGACAAAAGGTCATCCAAGCCCAACACGATGTTCACCTGCCTACAAATATCCCAGACAGAAGCTCATCCAAACCCGACATGATGTCCACTACGTGACAGGGTCAGTGAGGTCATAAATGAGAGTCTATTCTAGACATTGTAGTATTGCACATACGAGCAGGTGTTCCTTGAAGACGATGATGTGGCTGCATTGAGGATTTCAAGATGCGGGCAAGAGTTTCGTTGGCAATATGCTGCATGGCGCTGGTGCAAAGAGAGATTGGTACCGTTGATATGGCACAATGTTTATGTGGCATGTAGGACTTGTTGTTGATGTGCTGACATGGTATGCTGGTGTTGAGTGTGACAGACCTGCATTGCTGACGTGGCATCCCTCCTAGTAGACCTTTCAGGTCCTTGTCGCTGACGTGGCCGAATTGTTGCGTTGGCACGCAAGGGGTGACACGTGGCATGCAAAGGCTGTGCACTTGTTTGCGGAGAGTTGCATTGCTTCTGCAAATGATGCTAACCACTGTTAGTGTGGTTGTGTTGACTTTCTATTTACATGTTGATCGTCTAACAGTGTGGTTGTTGTGTGTACTCACAAGTGTGCTATTGTCTTGATCACACTGGTTGTGGTTGTGGTACCCTTAAACTGTAGAACGTCATCACACATAGATTAGACGGCAAAGTTAGATTAGAAATTGATTGAAATTTGTTTCTTCATCTGTTTTGATTACCTCTTGCTGTAGAAGTTGCGTGTGCCGTAAAATTTATTTTTGTTTTTAATTATTTTTATTGTGCGGCATTCACACGCTGAAAAAAACGTTTTTCCTCTGGAGCTTTCTGCATCTTTCTATCTTCACCCGCTTCGTCCCTCACTTTTTCTATCATGTTTCCCTTACCTTCTTCGCTGATGAGGAAGGACGTGCGCTTAGAACTCGTGGACAAATTGATAGCAGACGGCAAGAGATGTTGGACCGTCTACATAAGTCGATCACTAACCTACATGATGTTGGTGTCGAAGCCGAACTACAAGTGTGTAGCCAGTTCGATTTGCGAGTAGCATAAAGCGAACTTGAGAAGGCTGACACGACTGTTCAGATGATGGAGGTCAACACTCATGTTTAACACTCATGTTTAGCAAGTCATTATTCAGAGTCGACAGACACTGGATAAGATTGTTATTGATCAACTGACACTGATCTCCAATAGCAGAATTAGAAAAGAAGAGCAAGGGGAGCAAAGTGAGAAGAAGGAAGAAACATCTGATTCATTGTTTGAAGCAATGCCGATCCCGTGAATGTGACCGGCACCGGTCACTTGAACGCGACCGGCCGTTCATTTGTTTTTTTTTTTTTGAACGACCGTTCACGGTGAATGGGACGACCACTAAAGAGTGGTGTTTTTTTTTTTTTTTTTAATTTATTTTAGGTTCCCTCGGTACATTCGCCTCAAGCCCCACAGCGTGGTGACATTGAAAAAATAAAAAAAAATCGAAATGACCTACAAAATAGCAAACGAAAATGTTTATTTTGGCTGGTTGATTTTTTTTTTCGTTTTTAATTAAAAAAAAAATTATTCGTGAAAATCCAAATTTGAAAAAAATATAGGGAGTTACCCTACGATGTCCCTCACCCTCCTATAGAAAACAAACATACCCCCCCAACCCAAAAAAATAAATAAAAAAATACCGCTCTCCGTGAACTTCATAAACTCCCGTGTCGTGAACTCCGTGAACTCCATGACCGGTCTCCGTTCACAGACCCTGGGGGTACGACCCTGGTCTGAAGAGATTATGATGCAGAACATCCGTCAACTGGAAGATGCGTTGATTGAAGAGAAAAGAAGGATGAAAGAGTATCGGAGGATTCAAATAGAAAGAGAACAACAAAACGGAAAAGTGGAAGAAATAAAACAGAAATTCCACTTTGAAGAAACATAAATGGACCTTGCATCCGTTCTTCACAATCTGTCGGCTTACCTCACACATCTCGAATTGAAGATTGATAGTAACACCACCGCGATTCAAACAATGACTTCACTGATCAAAAAGAAAGAGAAGGTGGTGTATGCGGAGGTGACCAAGGGTGGAGAAAAAAAGAAAGAACTTCGAGAAAAATTATTGAAGGATGTAATAAAGCAAGTCACGTCGGAAAAACCTGGAACGTCAAGCAGGAATCCCATAAGACAGAGGAAAAAAAAAGTGGATCCTGCCAAGAAGGAGGAACCAGTCAAAGAAATTGAGAAGCCAAAAAGAAAAGAAAAGGTAAAAATGAAACTTCCTTTTAGTAACAATGGAAAACGAGGCAAACACTTGTTACTCTGGATTCGCGAGATCCAGACATAGTGTGGGACTGCACCGGTAGAGCTAGAAAGTCAAGTGGCTTCCTCGACTTCTTGTCTTGGTGAGACCACTACAACGTGAAGCTGATTGATTAATTGATTGATTCTATTATTGATTGATTCGCAGAGAGAGAGAGCGAGAGAGAGAGAGAGAGAGAGAGAGAGGGAGAGAGAGAGAGAGAGAGAGAGAGAGAGAGAGAGAGAGAGAGAGAGAGAGAGAGAGAGAGAGAGNGAGAGAGAGAGAGAGAGAGAGAGAGAGAGAGAGAGAGAGAGAGAGAGAGAGAGAGAGAGAGAGAGAGAGAGAGAGAGAGAAAGAGGAAAGAGAGAGAGAGAGAGAGAGAGAGAGAGAGAGAGAGAGAGAGAGAGAGAGAGAGAGAGAGAGAGAGAAAGAAAGACAGAGGCACAAAGTCGAGATGCAATCAACAAATGAAAAAATAGCGGCGAATTATTGTTATTACACTCTCTCTTTCTCTCTTTCTTTCTTTTTCTCTTTTTCTATGTCTCTCTCTCTCTCTCTCTCTCTCTCTCTCTCTCTCTCTCTCTCTTGCCCCCCCTTCTCTCTCTCTCTCTCTCTCTCTATCTATCTATCTATCTATCTATCTATCTATCTATCTATCTATCTATCTCTATCTATCTATCTATCTATCTCTATCTCTCTCGCTCTCTGTCTCTCTGCGAGGGAACCACGTGGCAAGCGGGCCACGTGGCGAAGCTTTTTGAACGTCGGCTCGTCATCCACGGACTGCCAGGTGTCAAACCGGCGCACTATTGCAACACGACAAAGAGGTCCGTTTTCTCTCTATGAGCCTGGCCATGTCAAGAGCTCGCCAGGCCTCTTGCTCCTGTTTAGAGGGAGAAAGGTTGCGCGCCAATTTTTTTCTTTGGACGACTCTTCTTCAAGTTTGGTTGGATTCTCTTTCTCCTTCTGCAGGTACGTCTCAGCCTCCACATCGAGTTGTCGGTCCTTTTCCTTAGCAACTCGCTGACGCTCTTCCTCCTCCATAGCCGCCTGGATCTCCCAGACATACCTCAACATATAGAATCCGAATACCCTGAGACGATGAGTATCTTCGTAGCATGTGTCGGGTGAAAAGAGTTAGTACGATCTTCATGGTAGCAGCATGTACAGCCTTTGAGTAGCCTCCCATGATCGTCGGCGTTGCGCTCGTCTATGTTGAACTCGATTAAAAGGACTTGGTTTGGGAATTCGTGCCTCAAGATTTGCTTCGATATTCGGCAAGTCGCGCATGAGTAAATCTCTTAAAACTCGATTCAAATTGCTCAAGTGACGGATTTGGAACGAACAACGGTCTCCCCAGAACGGGGGACCACCATCAATTTCTCTCACGCCGGATACAAGGAATAATTCTCCATCCAAGCACGAGGCGATATGCATGATGAAGATCGATAAGAAAAACGTAATGGCAGGATCATAACCTTCTGGCATTCTATCGAAAGATATGCTGGTTACGTACGAATAATACAAACAGCTTCTCAACTCCCCTTCGGACGCAATGTAGAAATCAATTCCGAAGACGGGCCTGTCACGTAGCGTGGCCATCACAATGTACTGAAAAGTTGGGGTAGGCGGGGGCGAAACAGACGGCTGGACACGAGCGCGAATGTCTTCGGGGACCGGAAGGTAGTGGTATCTGGGAAGCCTAATGTTGCCAAACCACTCTAAACCATAAATGTTCTCAGCTGTGGTAACAACTGCACTTTGCAGACTTTCGCAATAGCCCAGGTCTCTGACAAAGACAGTCCCACTGAAACTTCCAGACGACATCCTGCATCAGAAAAGAGAACAGCGTCATTGTCATACATGGAGAGGTGGGTAAACGGCGAAGTTGAGACCGCTGATTCTGGCAAAGTGCGAATGAACTCGTAATTAGATAGAAAGTTTGTCATACAACGGGGTATACTTAAGGGAACAGGCTGTAAGCATGGTGCGAGTCTATTCGCACTAGAGAAAAGACGAAGCAACTAATTCAGAACGCCGCTAGTGAAGATATAGATGTCCAACATCACAATAAGGGCAAGTCGTACACATATCTCGTTTTCCCGTTGCCCAGAGTTACTTCCTGAGGTCCGAAGGCTGAATAATCCAGATGGCGGTAAACAATTTGCAATTCGTTGTTCCTATATTTGACTGTGAAATTTATTTCGTCGCAACTATCGAAGAGGTACTGAAGTTGTTGCTGCACCAAAAAGTCGACCCGCAAATGCAGCTCATCTTTGAGTGCTTGATTTATAACGAGCCTGTTTTTGAACCGTGCAAGGGAACCTGTAGGGCCGGATGTTTGAAACGCTTGAAACAAAGTGAGCTTGACACCGTGAGATTCCTCCCTTGCGAGAAAAAGAGCTCTCATTCGTCGACCATCCACCTTGACGGCAGTGAAAAGCGTCACGACGGTGGTGCCTTGATTACACACCCTCGCTTGACCGAAGTAGTCCATGATCACTGACACCGACTTCATCGGTTGGCCGAGGCAAAACCAGGCACACTGTTTTTGATGCAACTTGTCCAACAACGCCCACTTAGGTTTCTCACATAAAATGTGCCATGCTTCAACCATCTTAGAAGTTTGGACGGGTTCCTCTTCAAGGGGTTCCCTCTTCAGAAGTGACTCAAACCTGATAGGGTGTGCCTGTACATCCTTCATCAGAGTGTACAAGTACCAAAAGTTCGACCCTACATCATGGCAAATCCGAAGTTGTCATTCTTCCGCACTTTGCCACGAAGGGATTTCCCCGTTCGGGGCAACATCATCTTCGAGGTGCATGTAGGCACGGTCCAGACCAGAGCGTCCAATGTCTTCCCAAATGTTCTTCGACAAAATGATTAGATCAAAATCCGGTGCTGAGGACTTCCTACTCTGCGACGAAGTCCCGATATCCGTTCTGCATCAGCGGAGAAACGCAAGGAAGCGCGTCAGTTGCGATTCTCGCAAGTGCATAAGCAAAACTTCCAGGAATGTTATATGCACGAAAGGGTTCGATAATTGGTTATTGGTTCGCACATCGCAAGAGAGCGCAAGTTTTCTAACCGTCGTCTAATGCCGACTTATTCTCTACACGTCATTCATGTGGGTCGATAACTGAGAGTAGATTCGCACTTCGCAAATCAGCGCAAGTTCTGCAACCGCCGCCGACGATTGGCAAATAAATGACAGCAGATTCGCACTTCGCAACTGAGCACAAGTCTTGCAACCGCCGCTCAACATCTCCAACACGTCGTTCATGTGGAACGGTCTGACTACTCTCTTATTGGGTGGAATGGTCAGACTACTCTCTTAATCAGCGCAAGTCCTACAATGATGGCGTCGATGAACGGCGAGGTCGTCTTATGAGTACAGCAGCAAAGTGCGAAGTAACTCAGAGTTGTCTCACATAGCAGGTCATGGCGACTGGTGTCCATCCTCATAGTAAGGACAGTCGTAGATCTGTCTCCGCCTACCCCCTACGAATTCCAATCTTTGGACACCCGAACGGTGATGCGAAACGTTTCGTAGAGTGTAGTCATTGCAGTTGTCCTTGTGTTCAAACGTGAATAATATGTCGTCACACAATCCGAAAAGGAAGTGAAGTTGGGCATGCACCAAATAGTCAACTCTTTGATTCAACTCTTTTGCAAGCGAGGGGTCTATTTCGAATCGTTCACGGAAGTGCTCGAGAGCACCAACGGACGTGGGCTCGCGAAAGTCTTCCCTCACAAGGAAGAAAACTCTCATTTGCTTACCACAAAGCTTGGCCATCGTGAAAAGAGTCAGCATAGGGGTGTTACGGTTGAACAGACGAACTCGGCCATGGTAGTCTATAATCACAGGAAAACGGAACTGCGGCTTCCCGATGCAGTACCATGCGCAAAGTTTAGCATGCTGCTCGTCCATACAACCCCACTCTTGTTCGAAGCGCAGCGACTCCTAGTCATCTACCAGATCCTCGACGCCCATCTTCTGCTCCTGACTGGATGGAACTTCCAAGAGTTTGACTTCTTCTAAACTCCAGTAGAGGTACCACATATTTGATCCTTTATCACGAGCTATTGTAGTTTGTCCATCAACAACACGTGTTTTGGGTGCAACGTGACCGTCGAGGCCGACCCCAGCTTCGATATGCAGATAATCGCTGTCAAGACTGAGCGTTTGTTGTGCCCAAATGCATTTGTTCATGATGATAAGATCCATGTCCACATTCTCGATCGAAAAGGAATACTCGCTCGCGTACGACGAGGTTTCCTAGGACGTTGTCTCATATACAAAGTCGAACGATGGTGTGTCGTCGTCATGCACCCTGCAGGACAAGAAACCGGAATTAGTTCGCAGTTCACGTCTCGTCATTATCTTAGCGGAGTTCATAGCTACCAAATCCAAATCAGTTTGCATTTATCGAAACGGGCACGTCGGACGGACCGGAAAGACAGCCGTCCCCCAAGGCCACAAGCGCTTTCTCGCATCGTCATGCATCTTGTAGGACAACAAACCGGAATTAGTTCGCAGTTCACGTCTCGTCATTATCTTAGCGGAGTTCGTAGCTACCAAATCCGAATCAGTTCGCATTTATCTAAACGGGCAAGTCGGACGGACCGGAAAGACAGCCGTCCCCCAAGGCCACAAGCGGTTTCTCGCAAACGGATGTCGGTATTGCAAGACCTGTCACGAATTTGCTCTTATCCGTCCCTTTGAAAAAAGGTCTTCTCTAAGAATAAGTCACGGTTTCGGCTCGCCGGTGTTCCTCGTCCGAAGTAGAAAGTTTCCACCTCTTCGTCCAAGCGCCGGAGTACCTTTCGCGAAGATCGGACGAGTGACCTGTAGGCACCCACCACTGTATACATAAACAACCAAAATGCGGTGACGAACGGTCGTCCACAACCTCAGACTGTGCTCTGCCAACCCAGAACGGGACACCTTGAGACAGTTCCTCATCAGGCGGCCTAACAATCAGAAAATCACCTTGGTTTATATGGCGCCGAGGGTCCAAGTCCACTTTTGGACGGCCCGCCCTCGGTCCTACATATATAAGCGAAGCATCTGGCGAAGGAGGGTCGGCTTCTTGAACTTCCTCCACAGTTTCGACTGATTGTGGCCAGAAGGTGTGAGGGTAGATCTCCGGCTCGTCCGCCCCGAGGACATCCTCTTCCTCACCCTCTTCCGTCTCCTTCTTCTTTTGCTTTTGGATCATGTCGTCCGCCTCGACGAAGATGGCTTTCCAGTAAGACAAAGCATCCTCCCGCTTGTCGACCTCCTCCTTCCTATATGTCGGCCACATGTGTCTATGATGTTCGAGGACGTCCACAAATTTTTGGACATTGTCGCAAGCCATCCGAAAATCGTCTTTAACGACACGGGGAATAACACATGGCTGTGGAGGGGAGGTAGGGCCTACATACTGGCCATCGACAACCGGGAACCAGTGAATTGGTCTGCCTTCCGGCATCCATTCCGCATCGGTACAGTATTTCTTGTACACCATGACGGGACTGCCGTTACGCATGAAGAATTTGAAGAGGTGCGGTTTCGATATGCCGACGATGGTTCTATCGACGTATCGATCCACTACCCGGCGCCAATCGGCAATGTGATCGAGCTCAATGCACTTCGGCGGTATCTTGTGCGACGACTCGATAAGCGAGAACAACTGCTTCATGGTGTAAGCATTGTTGTCCTTCAGTTTTTTCGAGAAAACACTAAAAGTCGCGTCTATGTCGGTATGCGTGTGGCCAACGAACATGAACCACACTTCGACATGTTAAAAAATCCCGAATTTCACCAGAAGAGAGGCCAAACACAAAAGGTATTGGTTTTTTTTTTCCCTCCAGCAATTGTCCGCCTCGATGCGGAGGTGGCGTGGCCATTTCTGTCCCGACGCCTGCAACTCACATACAGTCCCTATAACGCACGTCATGGTGTCATCGGAACCGTGCGCATAGAAAGGCAAATACGTGTACACATAAATGGACCTTTTCCTGCCGTGAGCTACGACCGCGGTCAGGTTCGTTTTCATCATCATGTCGTGTCGATGATCCTTGGAGTAATTATACATGCCGATGTGAGGAATTGTTGTCTTTTTCTAATCCATTCCATCCACTATAAGGCAGAGGTATTCCGCGGGGTTCAAAATGGAATGAAGTTTCCAGTCAGCATAATCCGCATGGTGAACGACCTGATCTAGTTGGTGTTTGCGGTGCTTTTCATCGAAATCCCTACAGTCACGAAGGAGGAAGGCGTTGTCTCTGGCCTGTCTAAGGCGCAAGGTCGGCATGCCACAATTACTTCCTCCATATGGAGTAGAAGACTTGCTCCGAAACGACGGTCTGACCCGCCGCTTCCAAGTCCGCCTTGACAGACCCGTATACAAGGAGCTTCGTGAAATAAGCAGGGAGCCTAACTTTGGGTCGTTGTGAGGTCCCCCTCATAACCATTTCGTTAGGCATAGTATCTCCATGTTCTTCCACAAACCTTGTCACACGAGCCAGCATGCTCACATAGTCCGGTCTCAGGTTCAACAATCCCCATCGACCATGACGGCCACGGACGACCCCGTCCGACTTGCACTTGCTATAACGACGAAATGTGTTTCGAAATATGCGTATTATTTTGCACCAGCCGGTGATGCACACACGGCGTTTGCACTGCACTGGTTGGACTCTTTTCATCGGGGTCAACATCGAGAACTCCCTTTTCAAACCGCAATGCCGATCTGAGGGAGCTTCCGGGCTGCTGTCACAAGAACTACGTTCTCGAACATCGTCTTCTCCGTGTTGTCGTGACAGTGGCAGTGGCGTGACACAGTGGACCGATTGGACAACCATTTGAAGATAAGATTCACACGGAAACTGTACAACAAGAAAATTACGTCAACGTATGACAAGATCACGGAACTAAACAAGAGAGAGCAAACTCACATTTCAAATATTTATCACAAAACAGTGGAACAACAACATTTGAATCCATATCGTTTTGGCGGACCCTGAAATGAGGCTCAAGTGATATCTGAAGTCCGACTCCTCACCCACTCGTTCAGTGTGCAAATGGTTTGGATATGTCTGAGTAAACTCACACTTTTTCAGGCAAGAGTACAAATGCAAGCTGATTCGGATTTATTCAACGTACAATAAGAAATTAAGTTCATGGTCGGAACAAGACCGAACACAAGTGCGAGTCGATTCGGTATTATCCACTAAACAGCGAGAAATTTCAAGTGCCAAAAAATTTGCACTTCAGAGGAACATTTCGATTACGCCGTGCAATAAGAAATTGCCTTCGTCGTTGGTTCAGTGCCGAGTTAACTTGCAAATACAAAACGACTTCATTCTTTTGGGCCGAAAATAGACATGAATTATCGACTAAAGAGGAACAAATTTAGGGAGATGGATGGTTGAAGAGTGAATAAATTCGCACTTGCAAACCAGCATTTCCATTATGAAACTGGGGCTTGTGGACTAAAGAGTCAAAAATTTTGGGGGATGATTGGTTGAAGAGCGAATAAATTCGCACTTGCAGACGAACATTTCCACTATGAAACTGAAACTTTTGGACTGTAGAGTAAGAAATTTAGGGGGATGGTTGATTGAAGAGCGAATAAATTCGCACTTGCAAACGGACGTTTTCATTACGAAACTGGGGGTACAAGTGCGAGTTAATTCTGACCTATGGACTAAACAGTGACAAATTAAGGGGTTGGTTGGTTCAAGAGCGAATGAATTCGCACTTGTAAACGAGCATTTCCATTACGAAACTTCGGGTACAAGTGCAAGTTGTTTCCGGCTTGTTCTGCGTGTAGTACGAGCCACAGATCGTCGCAAGAGAGAAATAAGGAAAGATGGTGTGCTATTTCTTAAGATGGAGAAAGATTGCGAAGCGATGGGCAGACGACGCATCGATGAAAATACATGGAGAGAAATGGCGCACCGAATGAGAGAGATGGCGCACCAAGAGAGATGGATGGAGTCACAGTCTTCCCCCGAATACAACGTCCGATTATTACAGTTGAATTCGGGTCATCTTTCAGTCTAAAGACAAATGTAATGAAAGTACGTTGTATATTCCGGGGAAGAAGGTGGATGGCGCAGGAAGGGAAAGAGATCGCGAACTGATTGGGAGGTGTGCCGCAGTGAGAGAGAGAGATTGCGCACCGATGGAGAAACATGGCGCAACAATGGAGATAGCAGGCGCAACAATGGTTAGCGATAGCACAACAATGGAGAAAGATGTCGCATCAAAGAAGATAGATGACGATGGAGATAGATTAGGAAAGATAGCGCAGCGATGGAGATAGATGACAAAGGAGATAGATTAGGAAAGATAGCCCACCGAAGGAGATGGATGACGAAGGAGATAAATTAGAAAAGATACCGAAGCGATGGGGATAGATGAGAGATCGCACATCGGTGGAGAGAGATGGAGAGAGGATGCGCAACAATGGTTAGTGATGCCGCAGCGATGCAGAGAGAAAGCATAATGATGACCAAAATTTGTGATTGCACAACATCAGTTCCATCGAGTTAAACCTTCGTTAAGCATACCTGTCACCTGTTTTGTGCGATTCCACAGTGATGGGCGACTGCACTGACGACGGCCTGAAACAACAATACAATGGCGATGGCGGGATCGCGCACAAGTAATGGAGAGCCTCTAGGGCAAGGATGGAGGTTGTCTGGTTCTCGAGAGAGATCGCGCAGTGATGGAGTGAGATGGAGAGTGATCACTCAGCGATGGAGGAAGATCGTGTGGCGATGGAGAGAGAAATCGCGCAGCGTTGTGGTGGGATAACATTGGTCAGGGCTTCATTGGGCGATGGCCAGCGCTTCGGTGGAGAGCGATGGCGCATCGGTGGAGAGCGATGGCGCGGCGATGGAAGTTCAACGCGTTACAATGCAGCGATAGCGATGGTGATGGCAACGACGGAACAACGATAGCGATTGCGCAGCGATGGCACATTGGTGGAGAGCGATGGCGCAGCGATGAAACAGCGATAGCGATGGCGCAGCGATGGAACAACGATAGTGAAGGCAGTGATAGCGCTAGCAATAGCGATGGCTGCGATATCAATGGCACACCGATTGAGAGATGGCGCAGCGATGGAACAGCGATAGTGAAGGCAGCGATAATGATAGCGATCGTGAAGGCGCACCGATTGAGAGATGGCTCAGCGATGGAACCAACGTTGCGATGGCAGCTATGGTACCAGCGTTGCGATGGCGCAGCGATGACCAGTGCTGCAATGAGAGCGATGGCGATTGCCAACGTTGCGATGGTCAAGCGAGCGCGACGACTGCGATGGGGGATATAACTTTGCGTCGCAATGGCGATGAGCTAAGCGCATCGATGGCGATGGTGCATGGCGAGCGTTGGCGATGGCGATGAGTTAAGCGCATCGATAACGATGGTGCATGGCTAAGCGCATCAATATTGAACGCTGTTGACATTTGCAATATGTCCGAAAGACATCGACACCGGAACTTATAGATTTCCTGTGTTTTTTACCTCGGCGCACAACGAATCGCCGCGCCTCGGCGGGAAATAAACAGTCGCCTGGCCTCGGCGAGCAACGAACCGCCTCGGCGCACAACGAATCGCCGCACCTTATAGATTCTTGCGCCTGGCCTCGTGCGTCGGATCATGTCGATCGACGGTCCAGATTACAACTGGGAAAATGACATTGCCTGCCCCTTGTTTTCGGAAACTGTCACATCATTTCACGCCGGAGTAGACGGAGATTTTGGGGCCACTGGCGTAACAGTGGCTCCGTTCATCTGCGCGGTTGAAAGTTGTTGATCGACGACCGACAATTTCCGGTACCCCTTACCGTTCATAGGCCCTGGCGTTTTATGGGCCCAGGGGTGCGATACGCGAATCGATTCGGCCCCACCTTGATGGCGTTTTATGGCCCTAAAGGTGCGATATGCGAATCGATTCGGCCCCACCTTGATCGTGACGCGAGGCCTACTGCAACAAAGTATAAAAGGCGTTGCAGCCCTCGAGTTATCCCTTTTGTTGGCGCTCCACAGATCAAGTCACGCTATCGCTTCCGCACACGTTCTGATATTTGGTCTTCAGCCCCCCCCACCTTCCGCCATAGCATGCTCACTTTTCGCTCTTCGCTCCGTCCGTAGTTGCCACATTGTGTTCGGTTTGCTCTTCGCTCCTCGGTCTTCGCTCTTCCTAGCTCGATATCCCTCCACATAAGCTGGTTCGGTGACGAAGGTAAAATCATATAACTTGAGTTGTCTTATTTTGTGTCCGACGTCCGAACACATTTCTAGATGCCCTGTCTGTACCTGCAGGATATAACGCCGCAACCTCGTTCTGTTGAACCCCGAATTAATTCCCGGTTTTGTTGTTTCGGCAGTGGAAGTGCTCTGATCTCTTTTCTCCACCCTCCATCGTCGTCCGCCATAGCCGATCCGCGTTCCGCAGCTCGATTACCTTTCGCCATAGCCACAATAACTTGCTTATAAAGCTGCTCGATCCCCTTCGCAAACTGCAGTCGTCGCTGCGCATGGCGAACCCCGAATCAATACCTAGTTGCTACACTGAACACCGAATCAATTCCCGATTTTCGCTCACCTGTTCCTTGTGAGTTCACCGACCTGATATCTACATATATATATATATATATATATATATATACATATATAAAGATATAGATACATATATGTGTATATAGAGATATATTGCCACACTGAACACCGAATCAATTCCCGATTTTCGCTCACCTGTCCTTTGTGAGGTCGCCGACATGATATATATATATATATATATATATATATATGTAAAGATACATATATATATTGCGAGTCAGTTCGCAGTTTGCGACGTACAGTGTTCGAGGAGTGACAACTGCGAGGTTATTCGCAGTTTTTCCAAGGTTAGACACATATTTCATTAAAGGCRGTTCTTTATTTCCACAAATGCGAGTTAAATCGCACTTTTTGAGCAACACTGTTGGAGAGTTGACAATCCAACCCGTGCGGCTTTCAGGTCTTCAGTTCCACAATTCCGAGTTAGTTCGTACTTTCCCCTAATGTTGCGCATCGCCGTTATTGTCTTGTCTACAAATCTGCGAGTTAGTTTGCACTTGTCGAAACCCTTCACAATTATCGATAAACCATGACTTCAGTTTCACAATTCGGAGTCATTTTGTACTTTCCCGTTGTATTTCGGGTTGCAATTGTCATCCTGTCAGCAAAACTGCGAGTTAGTTCTCACTTGTCGATTCACCCTTGTCGATAAACCACATCTTACTCGTTTCGTGCGTCTTTCACATCTTCAGTTCCACAATTTCGAGTTAGTTCGCACTTTCCCCTAGTGCAGCGGGTTGCCATTGTTGTCTTGTCTACAGAACTGCGAGTTAGTTCGCACTTGTCGACACCGTTCGCACTTGTCGACACCCTTCGCACTTGTCGACACCCTTCGCACTTGTCGATAAACCACATCTTACTCGTTTCGAGGGCATCTAGTTGGGTCGCAATCGTTTTGAACAGTTATCGTCTTCCCTCCCAACTTCTGTCTTTCCTATCCTTCACCCGATTGTTGTGACTTCATGTGCATTTCAAACACCCATCTCTTACGTCCTTTTCGTCCTCCATTTCATTAAGTCCGAGTTAGTTTGCACTTCGCTTCTATAATGGTCTGGGGTTGGGCGTATTAGTCATCCGAGTTGGTCTGAGGTTAGGCGTGCTGGTCAACGAGTGGGAATACAATGGCATTTGTAAAAAACACATCCACAAGCGCAGGACCATCTGCCCCCGGGGAGGGACGACCTGTACAGCAACCTACTCCTTAGTATATGCACGCAAAGGGAGCACAATGGTTTTTGGACTTCGTTGTTCACGGGAACCTTTTTGGGCCAACTGTTTTCATGCGACCCACTTGCGTTACAGACGCTGGGGGAGTGGTCAACGTTGTTCCTCTCGGTACCGTCGTCTCGTGCGCGAAGACTCCTGGAGGTTTGCTCAAGCTGCACACTAATGGCATGTACGACGAGTGCAGACTTCCTATCAGAGGTGTTACAGGTGTGCTGGTGGTGACCATCAAGGGTTTCGCGGGGTACGGCTCGAACATGCCATTCTGCTCTCACTTCAAAGGCCTTTACGATGGCGGCAGCAAGCGTCTTCCATCGCCAGAGCAATATCTCGATCTCGCGCTGATGGTGCCAAGAGAATGTCCGGTTCTTCCGCCATGGCATTTTTTTCGGCTTCTTCCACCCCGTGAGGGGTCCTCCAGCTTGGCTCAAGAAAATCCCGGTATTCGCTTCGAGATGAGACGAGAAGAGATTCAAGCAGATCGGGGCTAGATGTTGGAATGAGGCCGGAGGGATGGGCGCTGTCCGCAAAAGTTCTAGCAGGGAGCGGACTCCTTCGGAGAATAAGAGCGAGCGACAGAGGATGGTGCGAGAGGAGGTGGCGGAAGGAACCCTCCGCATGAAGAGGATGAGAGGAAAACCGGAGGCGGTGATGGGTGGGGATGGAGGTGGCGACGGAGAACGTGCCTCGGGAAAGAGGCCAACGAAGGAAGCGGGTGGGATGGCAAGTAAGAAAGCGAGGAGGCCCGGCGGTTTGACCATCCGCGAAGGACAAGCCGCGGGTGGAGGAGATTCGGCTGATCCAGGCGCTGCGGCCGCGAGAGAACCTTCGGGGAAACCGAAACGGAAAGTGGCAGCTGAAGAAAGCGGTGGCGAGAAGAAAACTCGAAGGCGGAAGACTGCTGAGGCGGCGAGCGGTGGGGAAGGGCCTGTCGGTAAGGAGTACGAGGAAGCGGCAGCGTTCTGGCTCGAATACGAGCGGAACGATGTCGGTGAAATCGTGGAGAAGGAGTCCGAACGGAGCTCACTGGACGTTGGCACAAAAAGATTCGTCGCTCGCCGACAAGGAGTATGTCGCTGCAGTTGGCAATGCATCGAGGCAGTGGATCCCGCTTGTGACGGCCGGTGACAACGTTTTCCGCAAAGCCATGGAGTTCTACGCGAAATGGGCGGAGGGGAAGTTGTTGGGCGGCGACGGCAAGACGCCATTGTCGAGGCTGGGCAAATACATGCCAGACAAATCTCCGGGTCTGTAAGAAATTCCGTAAATGGGCTCGAAAGGGGCAGCGGGTGAAATGAAGATGGGGTGGCTGGTCCGGGTCCCGCCGCCTCCGACCAAAAAGAAAACGCAAGCGGACGACAAGTTTTTCGTGGTCGTGAAGGAGCCAGACATGTTTTGTTGGCAGTGTCTCGCCGACATGACCAATGCCGAGAAACTGTTGATCCTTTACGACATTCTCGCGCTAAGGGGAGGGTTCGTGCAATCCACGGGCGGCCATCTGAAGCGTCAGCACAAACCAGGAATTAAAGACATGGTCGCGACGAGAAAAGTGGACCGTGTGATGCTCCGTATGTTCCACTACATCTTGTTCCTTGAAACGGAGGAGGACGAACGTGTTTGGCACCACGGGAGCCCTTTTTTTCGGACCGAGGGGAAGCTTCGAGAGGAGTACGGGCCGCAGGGCCTCACGAAACAGGTGTGGGTCGAAATGCGAAAGCATTTCCAGGGCGCGGTGGAGTATGTGAACACTTGCAAACGTACTCTTCCGCACGAGAAGGAGTCCATCGACAACGCGAAGAGATTGTACGATGATGACAGGTTCCCTAAATCTTTCGAAAAGTCTGTCCGTTCCATCTTGCGATGGACGGAAGAAGAAGTTCGAGACACGATCAGGGTCAGCGGGGATGTGAGGCACATCAAATGGCCCGACCTCAACCGGGTGACCAGCCTTATTCCTTTCGCTTTCCCGCCTTCCCAAGCTCAGAGTCATGTCACTGCGATCCGTGAAGTTGTGCGACATTACGTGTGCAACCTGTACGTCCTCGATTTGTGTGATCCCACACTCCTCACAGACTGGCGAGAAGACGATTTCGCCAACTTGCAAGGCCTTCTACAAACACTTTCGCCAACGCATTGGGCGCTTGTGATATTTTCCCCGTCTTGTTGGGAGCTCAGTTTCTTGAAAGGCATGGCGAAGCTTAGCGTCCATCACGTCAGGACAGGGAAGTGGGTACGTAATGCACAAAAGCAGGCCACTGTCCGGGAAGGCAATATGCTGGTTGAGGAGTGTGACCGCCTATACGTGACTTTTAATGGCGAGAAGCTGGAAGACAACACATTCGCAGTCTACCCGGCCAGTAGCCCGACAAAGGCTTCCCGTGCTCATGGTCCAAGTCCGGCCAAACACACGGTGGCGGGCCGCTCGAAGGGTGTCTGTTCGTCGGACCCATCAGGACAGGCTGTGGCGTGTTTTGACGTGGCAGAAGAGGAAAGGTTCTCTCGTAGCACATGGGAGGATGGTGGCATGACAAGTTCTCAAGGACCTGCTTACGGGGAGATGGAGCGGAACCCGTCCCGCCTACTTGGTCTACTTGAAAACTTTTGGAAAGCTGGTCAAACTGTTTTTTTCTTTGGGAAGGCGCATGCGTGTGTCGTGTGGGAACTCCTGCCCACCTGTCGGAACGTCGTCGCGTTGGAGAAGGAGGCGAAGATGATCGATTACCTTCACGAGTTTGTGAAGGCACGCGTTGCACACACTCGCAACGCTTGCGGGTTTGTCCAGACCACCGGCGAACGAAGCTGGGATCCCAAACGTGACATGTATTGGAAATTGTCGGGGAACAAAAGGACGGACGTTTGGGACTTTCTCTTCGGACCCGGACCGCCTGGTCCGACCGACCTCGAATACAGTCGATGGAGAAACCTGGTGTTCACTATGCTCAATGGGTACCACGGTGCACCCAGGGAGTCTGTCTCGCACTTCCTAAAAAGGCTAGAGCACGTCTACTTCACGCTGGCCGAACCGCTCACTCTCGAAAACTACAAGTCACAGTTTGACGAGGAGGACCCTTTCGACGCTGACGACATGGAGGAGCTGAGCGACTCTGAAACCTTCAATTTCGAGTCCGTGCCACTTCCTCGGGTGGTTGGACAGGTTGGTGGTGAAGAGGAAGGTGGCCCTCGGAGATATAGCACGTCCCCTGCCGGTTTGAAGCATGTGTTTCGGGGCGAACCAGTCGACGACCAATCGTCTGATGACGGGGAGGAAGAGAGAGACTATGATCACGAACCTTGTGACAGGCTCCCTGTGGACCATGACACCTGGCAGACTGACAGACTCTACTTCTTCGGCAAGCATCGCCGGTTCACGTCGGAGGATGTCTGGGGACACAACGTCGTCTGGCACCCGAGGATATTCCAACCTGCTGTGAGGAATGGAATATGAGTCATGGCAATAAAGGAGGCCGATGGCGAGTGGAGTGGACTGAAGAGACTGGGAGCGGGTGCATTTAAGAGAAAGGCAAAAACTGCTCTGGTGGAGTTTCAAGCGCCTTTCTACGCACTCGAAATGGCACCGTCTCGTGGCATTGACTGGCGCATGCCGCAACCTCCGCTGTCCGGTCAGCATCCGGGAGGGGGTGGTGGAGGAGATGAAGGAGACAGCGGAGGTGGCGGAGGAGACGGCTCACAGTTTGCCGGAAAGGGGACGGGCGAGACATCGTCGGTTGAGAAGGCGTCCGGCGGAAAGGGGTTGGGTGGAAAGGGGTCGGGCGGGAAGGGGTCGGGCGGGAAGGGGTCGGGTGGAAAGCGTAGAACGTCCGGGAGTCCCCAGTATATGGAAACTGACCCCCACTGCGTAGGGAGTCGAGATTCCAACATGCGAGACTAGACCACCCTTAGGTTTGATCAAGTGCGAGTACATTCGCACTTGTCTACGAGGAGTTTGTTTCCCGTTACCCAGGAGAGTCCATCCCGCCGTGCGCAGCAAAGGTCTCCTGTGCTCAACACCTTGCTCTTGAAAGAGGACGCGTCTTCGTTTTGCCTGGAGGGCGGGATGCCTGCATTGCGAAGGAGCGAAGGTGCGACATTTGGTTCCCTCAGCTCGGGCGACCGCCACAAACTTCGAATACATTCGGATTTGCTATCGTCGCCCTACGCCATAAATGCTCCTCACGCAACAGTTCCGCGACGCAAAGAAAATGTGACGTCCTGGCCCCTGCATCTTCAGTTGCACACAGGGTTACCCTGCTTGCCTCCTTTCTCATGTGTTGAGACTCGAGACTGGCGGTCTCGCGATGTGCTGGAGGGGCCCGCTCCAGGAGTGTTGGAGACCGGGGTTAGCGAGAACGAACGTCACACTCCTGGGGAAGACGAGCGCTTTCCGGGAACGTGTGCTGTACATCGAGAAGAGGAGACTAAACGCTGGCAGTCTCGCAAAGTGTTGGAGACCGGGGGTAGCGAGTGTGAACGTTCTGCTTCGGAGGGTGCGTCCGTGGACACTGACAGCGAGAGTGGAGGAGCTCCGTGGGAAACGCATGCTCTATAGAGGGGAGAGGAGACTCGACACGGGCCGGGTCGTGAAGACGTGAAGTGGCTCCACGCACGAGCGCTGGTGATCGGGACGTCCGAAGAGGTTCTGCACAGTCACTCGGTTGTGGCCACGACCCAAGAGGGTGTCGTTAAGGGAGGTAAGTGGACGTCCGTGCAAGCTCCCGTTCTTGGCGACGATGAAGACGAAGAAGAACCCACGGTGGAAGCTCGGGTTCATGGCGATGAGAAAGGCGGAGAACCCGTGGTGGAAGGTGGGGAGGTGACTGTCGACATCCGGACGGATCCACAGTGGAAAGATGGTGATTCTTCGCCCACCCGTTGCGGTGAAGAACAAGGTGGTCGAGCGTCTGTCCTTAGCACCGCTCGGGGAATGGTGCTTCATGAAGCCATAGAGTCGGGTGACGACTCGGCAGCCACCAAGCTGGTTAGCGACTCAGGCGTGGCTAAGATGTAGAACGTCGAATCCTCCGTGGAAGGCGGTGAGGTGACCGTCAGCATCAAGATGGATCCAGAGCGGAAAGATAATGATTCTCCGTCCACCCGTTGCGGTGCCGAACAGGGTGATCGAGCATCTGTCCTCAGTACTTGTCGGGAAATGGTGCTTCATGAACCCATCGACTTGCCAAGCGACTCAGCTACCACTGAGCTGGTTAGCGACACAGCCATGCCCGAGGTCCAGAACCTTGAATCGTCCGTGGACGTTGGCGGAGTGGCGCAACAGGAACGCGACTTCCCTCAAAGGGCTCTCGACCATGTAAGATTTGTGAAAGGACCACTTGGATACCTGTCACTGGCCAACTCTGTGTTCGTCCAGATTGATGTCATGGGCTAATGTACCTATTACCACTAATTTAAAAAAAGCTTGTGGGTTATGGGTTGTTTTCTATGTTCTACAGGTGTGAGGTTGTTAATGTCCCTGCCCATGAAGCCTTTAAAAGTCGTGCGCAAGAAACGTCTTTCACGGAGGTCATTGGCCGCTTCACCGAAGAAGTCGTCAAGTGTAGGGTTGTTTGAAAGGGTCCATATGCCTCGCCTTTCCCAGAGAGCTGTCAGGGTTCTGAAGGTTTGTGGAATATATGAGGAGGAAGGTCTGCGGAAACATTTGGCTGCATCTATTGAGAGCGTTACTGCTTTGTCTGACGGGTCTGATGACGATGGCAAACGGGGTGTCTTGAAAGACCCGTGTCCTAAGTACATCGCAAAGGACACATTCAACAAGCGGGGATACAAGTTTTCTGGGAAAAGGGCAGACGGTTCTTAGTCGTTCCACCACGGGGTTTGTGCTCACTCCTCACACTTGTTCGTGGGTGTTTGTGCAGTCGGGGCTACATCATGTTTTCGCGTTCCGTTCCCTACTGAGGAGCTTAGGGCTACGGACTTGAGAATGTTGTGGAACGTCTGTGGAGATTACAACAACGGTCACGAGGTGGTGTGCTTGGTTCGCAAAGGGGTCAGTTCAATTCCGTTGAGCAGAAAAAGTCTTCAAACTCTTGTTCAGCGGGAATGGCTTTCCGACGAGGTGGTGGAGTCGTACTTGGCCTTGCTTGCCAACGTTGTGTTGCCTGGGTGTCCTTCTCCTTAAATTTTCAGTCTATTTTTCTATACCAAGCTCGTCCGTGGCGGCTATCGACATAATAGGGTTGCGAGATTGACAAAAGATGTGGATATTTTCTCGCACGAGATGATCTTGATTCCTGTCCATAAACATGGAGTGCATTGGACCCTATCGTGTTTTCGAGAACAACGGCTGGAGTACTACGACTCCCTCGTACAAGACGATGCGGTTTTTCTTCCGATGTGATTGCGAACTTCACGCAATACCTCCGTGCCGAAGCAGTTTGTTATTGTGGTCCAAAAACGAAAGTGGATCTCCAGGAGCCCAAGGTGGTTGTTCGTGGTGTCCCTCAACAATCGGACGGGTCGAGCTGCGGTGTTTTCATGCTCCCCTTCGCTTCATTGTTTGCACGAGGCTGTCCGCCACCATTTCCGATAGCCCAAAGCGACATTCCAAACATCCATCTGAGGATTGCGGTGGACATACTCCAAGGCGCTCAATGATACCATTGTTGTAAAAATACGCGTAGTTTTTTTTTCGAAATGCCATAACCAGAAGTGCGAATCTATTCCCACTTGATCTAGCAGTCAACCGGTTCGAGTTGTGCTGTTGTTTTCATGGGGTGCCGGATTGCAGTGGACGTTTTGGTCAAGTACACGCTTAGGTGTCGATGTGAATATCCCAACCTCGTGCTGTATTAATTTTTTAAGGGTTCTTCAATTCGTGGAACCTGTCATCTTTACTCGTAGGACTTTTGGCAGCGCCGTGCTTCCTTTGTTTGTTTTCGGGTTATTCTCATTGCTTGCCGCGCAACATCAGCCAGAGGGTAGCAGCGGACGCTTACGTGAAGTAGAAGCTTAGATGTCGATGTAAATATCCCAGCCACGTGGTGCAGTTCCTTTCTAGTAGACCCTTACATATCGGATGTGAATATCCCAACTTTGTGCTCCTTTTGTTTATTTTCGGGTTGTTCTCCCTATGTCCTCTCAGACCGCGGCAGCACCGTGCTGCGTTTGTTCGTTTCGAGGTTGTGCTCCTGTTTTACTCATGTGAAAGATATTGACTCTTTATTCTTGGTCGCCAAATTGTTTCGTGCTTATCTTTTTCGTTCGCGAGACTTTGTGGCGTGAAAGCCCCTCTCCCCCGCCCCACCCCGACCACCCAACTTTCATATGTTTTGGCTTGTCCTTGTTCTGTGTGTGCCGCCCCATTTTACGGTTCACCCCCTCTGCTTGTCTCGATTGAATGCTGTCTGTTGGTTCCTTATGACAGTTGCGAACTTGTTTTCCGTTCGGAAACCAATTGTCCCCAGAATGTATGTGTGCTTGAAGTTGTTTTACGGATTCAGCGGTGCACTAAGTGATCACCAATTTTGTTATCCCCGGAATACATCTCGTGCTCTCCACGGAATGCTGGTTGTTGTTTCCGTATGAGAAATGCGAACATATTCGCACCTAGGATGCCGTACATTTGTGATTAAATTGTTGGTTCCATGTGAGAAATGAGAACATATTCGCACTTTGGCTCCATGTACTTTGTGATATTTGGAAAGCCTCCGTGCACTTTGCATTGTGGGATTGTATGATATTCCGCGTTCACTAACTTTTTGAAACGTCTCTGTATGCTTTGCAATTTGCCCTCGAATGAATTTTCTGCATTGAATGGTTTCTGATACCTGTTCGTGTACTATGAGAATTCACCTTTGGAAAAACACTACGCAAGTTGAGATGTTTTCACCTCGATGTTTGCGATGTCTCCGTGTGCTTTGCAATTTGACTTGTGCTTAAAGTTGTTTAACGGATTCAGCGGTGCACTAAATGATTGTCAATTTTGTTCTCCCCGGAATACATCTCGTGCTCTCCAATGGATGCTGACTGTTATTTCCGTATGAGAAATGCGAACATATTCGCACTTTGGATGCCGTGCATTTGTGATTGAATTGTTGGTTCCATATGGGAAATGAGAACATATTCGCACTTTGGCTACATATACTTTATGATTTCTGGAAAGCCTCCGTGCACTTTGCCATGTGGCATTGTATGATATTTTGCGTTCAATTTTGAAAGTCTTTGTGCTTTGCAATTTGCCCTTGAATGAATTTTCTGCATAGAATAGTTTCTGGAAACTGATCGTCTGCTCCAAGACTTCACCTTTGGAAATACAGTGCGCAACTTGAGATGTTTTCACCTCGATGTTTGCGATGTCTCTATGTGCTTTGCAATTTGACTTGAGATGTTTTCATCTCGATGTTTGCGATGACAAGAGATACTTGTATGAATGGATATGAATCTTCTACACAGAAAGATTTGATGGAGTTGTCAACCTGTGATATAGAAATGACAAACCGATATCCATATTAAATCGTCGCGCTGATGGACTGCGCAACTGCTTCTCCATCAAAGTGCGAGTTCAATCGCACTTTTGGTGTGAGCCCTGAGCAATTCCCTCGCACTTTGCTTCACGTCGAGGAGGGGATCGAACGCACCGCCTTTAAGCACCTGCACATCACGACACAAGAGCACGTCCCAATTGGAACATCATCGGGTCATCACCTCATCGACTCTCAAGATGACTACAGCCAACAGCGGTTGGATGACAGGTCCGGCTATCTGATAGGGATCTCACGGTGGAGTGCGAAACTCTGCTCTTAAAGATCCACACCGGGTAGAAGGTCCTGCAAGCAGCCGCTGCTTGCTTGTAAGGCATCTTATGATGTGTTGATATAACCGACATCCAGAACTGCTTGGTGAGCATCTAGTGCTACGCCAATGAGTTCCAAACACGGCAGCAAAGTCCCTTAAGAGTGTTCTTTGTCGGGTCCTCACCACATCGACTTTCAAGATGACTACAGAAAA